ATTTTTAGTTATATTTTTAATATAAATTTCTGTTAACCCATTTTATTTTATTAAAACAATATTCAAAGAAACTACTCTTTCTAGTCTTATAAAGTCGGTTTTTTAACGTTATTTAGTCTCAAACTTTATCAAGTAGACATAAAATTGCTTTAATTTGGTCTAAACATCGGGCATTAAGTAAAATGTGAAAAAACCTGAAACAATTAGGATGGATTTTTGTGATGGCTTCCCGAAATATTCCAATTATTATTATCCAAAAGGGATCAGATAATGTTTAAAGACAGACCGTATTTACTATTTATGTTTTAACAATGCAATAGAAAATAGAAAATTGTAAATATATTTACTCGTTTAAAACAGTTCTATATTTTTATTAAATTATAAAACATTATCAAATGCAATGTTTTAAAATTAAAGACTGGAATATTATGGGAAACGGTTCGAAACACTTTAAAAACATTATTTCATAATATTTACCTTGTCTTCGGCATTTTTCCTTATTCTCGATTTTTTTAAACTTCTTTTGTGTAATTTTTGTCAAATAGACAACATTTCTAAAACAAACAACATTTTTAAACAAACTTTATTAAATAAAATTTCGTCATTAATAAATGATATTTGAATATCATTTGTAATTTATATTGTGTTTATTTATATGTATTATTAGAATAATATTAGAATAAATATAAAATAATATAATATCATATTATTATTTAGTATAATATTTTGTTTAAAATATAAACTTGAATATATTTATATATGAGACTATTTAAATCTAAAAAATTTATTAAACTAAAATTAATACATGGAACCCAAAGAATTTAAAATTGTTTTTTTAGGAGGGGTGATGTCGTGTAAAACTGTTGCATTCAGTGGGATGGTCGGGCCAATAAATTATAATACAACCGCCACATTGAGTGCTAATTTTAGTGTTTGTTATATTCTATTCAATAAAATAAAAAAAATAAAAAGTAACTTAAAGGCTCAAACGCTGTACTTAGACAGGGAATTTGTCAAAACCCAAATTTGGGATACTTGTTTGTTATCATTACTTTTATTCTTTAAAAAATTACAAGAAGCTGGAAACGAACGGTTTATTAACTTGACCAAAATATATTATGTGTTTGTTATTATAAATAAAACACCAGTTTTAAAATTTTAATACAATTATAATAAAATAGTATCAAAATAGTTTTTAAATAGTTTTCATTAACACGTATCAATAATTTCATTAATAGAAATGCAGATATCATTGTTTTCTTTTACTCTAAGATGTACCCTGATACTTTCAATATGTTGGACACGTTCATTGACAAAGTAAAAAATGATATCGTTAATCACAATCAAGACCACCATGTAAGTTATATAATATGCGGATCAAGAACTGATAATGTCGACAATAATACTGTTGATAAACTTAAAGCAGAAGAATTGGCAACTAAAAAAGGTTGTTTGTATGTTGAAACGGGAAGAAACGTTGATGCTCTTGTAAGTTTAGTTTATCAGACAATTTTAGATAAAATAGCATTTGGCCAAAACCCAACAGTTGAAGTTGAAACGCTTGATATCGAAAAACAAAACAGCAAAAAATGTAAAATCGTATAGCCTGGATTATTTTAATTTTACTGCTTTGTGTTTTTAATATAACTACATTTTTTGACACTGATAAATAAAAATACCAATTTAAAATACATTATTTATTGAATTAATTTTAATTTAAATTTATTTAATTTATAAATATATATATAATTTATTTACATACACCAACTTCAATGTTTCTAGTGTAAGTTATTTGTAATAATAATAATAATATTGTAAATGTTATAAAGATTATAATTTCATATTTTAATATAAAAGTTTTTCGTTTTGAAATATTAAGAACTACTTTTATCAAATAAACTTTGTACAAATTATTTAATTTAAATTAAATTTATTAATGAAATTCGGTAGTAAGTATTTATATTTTTGTACTTAACACTTTTATTGGTAAATCAAATATTTTTAAAATTATAAGTTTCTTATTTAGATTATAACTGTTATTATTGGAATTAAAATATCATATTTATATAAAGTTATAATCTTCTTAATAAAAATGATACAACTCGATGGGTACCACATAATGATAGTTTCGCAATATTTTTCAACGATAGATGACTTCATTAATTTAGAACTTGTATGTAAAAAATTCAGAGGTAATATGGCGAAGTTTCATTATAACCCAATTCCTCTTTCATTAGTTACAATTGAATATTTCCCAAACATCGAAACTCTTCATTTGTGGTCTAACGAAGATGAAGAATTTGGAAGTATTCTATACGAAGAATTGGGTTATTACGACCCAGAATTAGCGACGAAAAAGTTTTATAAAGTGATCATTTGGTATTCCGTTAATTATTTAACTTATTTCCAAAACACAGACCGTAACATCAAATTTCACGGAGTGACATATACACAATATGATAGAGAGCTTTTAGGATATAAAATACCCAATGATGTACAAACGATTGGAACGTATTGCTTTCATGAATGTTTAGATTTAAAAGGTATTCAAATTCCTCACAACATAACTTGTCTCGAAAGTTGGTGTTTTAGTGGTTGTGGGTATTTGGTAGAAATCACAATACCATCTTCGGTGTCTTCTATTGGTGAAGGGTGTTTTAATGGATGTGGAAGTTTAAGCAAATTGGTTATACAACCGGGTATAACAACACTTCCCAAGTGTTGTTTCAAGCAATGCTTTGCTTTAAAAACGTTGGTGATACCTTTTACTGTTGTTTCTATTGAAGACCAGTGTTTCCAATTTTGTGGAAGACTAAGTTCTGTGGTAATTTCCAATACTGTAACGTCTATTGGAAATGAGTGTTTCAACATGTGTAAAAGTTTACTAAATATAAATTTGCCAATTCATTTGACATTAATTGGAGATAAATGTTTTGAAAAGAAAACAGTTGTTCATCGAAATTGATATATGGTATTCTCATTTTTGTTATTTTCGAAAAAGATCAAAAATATCGTTTCGAATATATAAAAGTAAATATTTCAACTTTATTTAGATCAAATCCTTATTTTTTTTTATTTGTTTGGAAATATTGATAATATATACATAGAAATTAGAAAAAAATACAGTAAAACCTCGATTATTTCCATTTTTATTATTTTAAAAATCTCAATATAGTTTGAATGCTTAAATCCGGCACAAATGAATTTAGGAAACCCGCATTCGTTTTTTTTCTTTTATTTTACAATCTTTTACTAAAAATACGTTTTTGCTTTAAAAACATGAGACAATAAACAGATATCGTGCTGCAGCAATTGGAGATGTTTATGATGCAAGGAACTTGGAAATTGAACCGAGAAACTTGGAAACTAGACATGAAAGAGAACGTGTACATATTAATACAAAAACAACAAATCCACTTTTTGATAAAATTGATGGTGTAGTATTCATAGAATTGATACAAAATACACTTTCTGTTGTTTCAGAACAAAACTGTACCAATTATCACTTTCACACGTTGAAAGTTGCTTTTTGTTGTACTCTTGAAATGACACTAGAAAACGACGATAAATTTACACTCAATGTTGAGATAACCGATCCTGTATTATTTGCAATTATTGATTCCTATTGTGATATGTGATTATTTTTCGAAATGACAATTACATTTTTTTATTACTGAACTTTTTAGTGAATTGTGTTTTGCTTTTTAGGACAAAAATGGGGTTTTCCAATATGCCAGATTTTAGCTTACAAACAATACTATCCAAATTGAAAAATTAGAGTTTTGTCATGAGTTGTAATATTGGATTAAAAATTTGTAATTTTAAACATTTTCGGCAACAAACTAATTTATGTAAAAACCACATTTAATTAAAATCTGTCATATCATTGAAAATCCTACAATTTTTGAAATCAAATATGCGGTTTTTGGCGATTGTTCAATTGATTGCAAAAAATAAACTATTTGTGTAAGTTCACAAATATTCGACAATTCTCTTGTTGTTATATTTACACTTTCTCTAAATGTTATTTTTTCATTATCCAATTCAATGAACTTTTCATAATCAATTATTTTTTTAATAACACCTTTATCTTTTAAATAATCAACAAAGTTTTGAAGCACTTGTTCACAATCATCTGCAACTATTGGCTGAATGATAATTTCTTGTCTTGTTACAGGCATATCAATCAAATTCGGATTATCACCAAAATTTGGTACAAACAATTTGCTTTTGATCCAACAATTAAAAATTGTCGCAAAAAACATATCTTTCCATACACTTTAAAAAAGGAAACTATCAACTATTACCATTTTGATAATTCCTTTCAAAGTCTACTCATTTTTCTTACCTTCAATTTCAAGTTTGTTGTATTTGTCCACTAAATCACGCAGATGTTTGCAATAATATCTTTTGAATGTGCAAATGATTCCCTGATCCAGTGGTTGATAAATTGATGTCACGTTTGGTGGTAAAAATAAAACAAATATATGTTCAAGTTGCATAACAGATTGTGTTGGTAAACCTTTGTTGATACACAAATTGTGCGAACTGCAGTTATCAACTATCAATCAGATTTGTTTATCTTAAGTTTCGGAATGAATCTTATTATTCCAAGTTCTCAAAAAAACCACAAACAAAGAGGTTGTCATCCATGCGTTTTCATTGTTTTGTAAACTATATTATAATGTTGCTGCAATTATGTGTTATAATGTTGTGGTGTTTCGGAGCGTCCAATTATAAAAGGTGGCAATTTAACAGTTCCAGTTATATTCGTTGCCAATAAAATAGAAAATCTAGTTTTATCATTTTTGATACTTATACTTTTTGTTTTGTAAAAGAAGTTTTTCCCAGATCTTGATTTCTAATGTGGTATCGTCTCCATTATAAACAAAATCAATACCAAACTTAACACCATTATAATCAACAAGCGTTTGAATAGCTTGAATATAATCTTTACAATTTTCCAAATCCACCAATTTTGAAATGATTGTCTTAAACAAAGTCAGTTTCTTTTTTAAAGTTTAATAACCATCCATTAATATTTCTAAAGTTTTCCATTGTTTTAATAAGTTGTAAATCTAAATCAGTATTGTTGGTTTTATTTATCGGTATTTTCAGAAAATTTTGTAAATTACTTTGAAACATGCATTTTATAGTATCTTTTTTATTAGTATATTGTCTTCAAGTAAATTATTTAATGATTCCATTGTCTCCAATTAATTTGTTGGCAAAGACGAAAATTATGTTTTTCTTTATCTTCACTTTCTTTCATTTTATAGGAATAACTTGTGTTTGGGACTTTATCGGGGTTAAAAGTTAGTTGTGTTCATTCTTGAAGGTTAACTCCGGTTAATTCACTTCTATTTTCTTGAATTAGCATTTTATCTTTTTGGATAAATCCGAAAGCCTTTTGCCTTTTGAGCCTTTTCTTTTCATTGAAATTGTTTTTTAAAGTTTGTTTTTTCTAGTCTGTTTTAAAAACGAAAACATCGAATATTTAAAGTTGGATTGATTTTAACTTTGTTGTTAAATTCACCAACTTAAGATTACATTGCATTTTTCCAAAATACTTAAAACAAACAATCAAATTTTTAAATTGTTGGGGTTTGGAAATAATCGAGGTTTTACTGTATTTTATATCAAATTATGATTAAAAATAGCATTAAGTCTCTTATTATAATCTAATTAAAATAATAAATTGTATTATAGTCGGGGATAAATAGCATTAAAAAGGGACAAAGGTAGTTAATTTTGATAAATATAATTTGGAAACTATAATTTTTAAAAAATCTATTTAAAGGTCAAAATAAACATAAAATTAAAATAATAATATAAATTATCGTTTTATATTTTAAATGATTATAAATTGAATAATTATAAATTTCTATTTCAAAAATAAACAAAAACACCTCAATTTGTCCACTTAGAAAAATGTGGAAGTCTAAAACGCAGCACTTTTTATGGTTTGTCTGAAACTTGTTTTGTTAAAGAATTTTTCCTTTGTTTCATTTCTTTTCTACTCTTCTTCAACTCCAATTGTTTTAATGTTAAAATGGTCGTTCTCTTTTCCTTTCTCAATGGGAATGGTTCAACAACGAAAGATTGAAAGATTTCAACAAATAATGATTTTTCAGTGATTCCCTGACACTTTAAAAAATTGACATTGTAGTTAATTCATTAAACTCTGGCATTTTAACCATATACATCATGAATATATATTGAAATACAGTTTTTAAACTGGTTTCTTGTATTTGAATTGCTTTTTTATGTTGATTGCCTGTAGTTGTTTCATCAAGGGTTCCTTTCTCTTCTTCTTCCATTGTTTTCAAAGATTGAATAATATCAAAAATAGAAAGTTATGGTTTTCTTTTATTATTTTCAAAGTAGTTAATTGAAAAAACCCTTCTAATACTTTTATAGTTAAAAAATATATTTTATAGTTTTTTACTCAAATTAACTACTTCTGTCCCAAATTAACCCCCTTTATCACCCGACTATAATTTAAACTTTTAAAAATTATCAATTATAGTTTAAATTATATAAAACATAATAACAATTTTTAATTTATTTGGTATAATTAATTAGTTAATTGTATTAGATATAATAAAATAATAATAATTTCATAACAACCATATATAATAGATATTTTTATTTAAAATTATTGTCAAATATTTCAATTCAATCAACATGTTTTAAGTTGAAATATAATTATAAGAATTAATAAATACCAAAAACATGTATTATATATTATAATATATTAAGTTATTATAACTAATACAATTATTAACAATTGAAGAAATAGTAAAAAGAAACTATAAATTACATGTCAAGTAAACTTGAATTAATTTACCTTCTGAAAGTTGTGTTCTATTTTGACACTAAAGAACAATTACAGCGGTTTATATGTGTAAACAAAACATGCGAAGACACTATTAAAGCCCTCAAAGTCTCTCCTGTATTTATAAACACGATCAGTTACGTTTGGTTTACAAAGCACTTTACACCAGACACCATCAACTTTGGCTCAAGAAATGTCTCTATTTCAAGCTTTATGGACAACATTACTTACATCCGTTTCCCATCGTTTATTACAGACTTTTTAAACGGTACTTTAACGAAGGAAACCCTCCAGAAAATTCTTCCTAAAATCACTTCTTTGAGATTTATAGACAATGATGAGAATGACGCCGATATAAATTCTTTAATATTAGAAAACGCGAAATATTTGACTCACTTACAACACTTAGAGGGAGACATAGAGTGTATAACAAAATTCATAGAAATCTACACTGAATATGGTCAAGAAAAGTACATCAAACTTCCTAATAAAATAGTGATTCAGTCTTCTCAAAAATACCTTCTTCGACTCGACGAAGTCACTTATAATAAGTTGGAGCGCATTCAAAAATGTTTCTTTAACAGTGGGAACACGACTATATATATAGTGTTCTCCACTGTTTCTTCTCCACTAATGTACCAACGCTTTTCTCAATTCAAAGACTTTGTATTTTACTCGCGATGTTACTCGAAAGAAACATCAAATTTTTGTCATGAGAACTTGTTTGTCGACAGTGGAAAATTCATAATCAACGGCGAAGTCAATTCAAGTGATGCCAATACAATTTTAGAGAAGATGTACTGTGAGAAGGTTATACAAAGTGAAGTGTATCAAACATACCAAAAGTGGGATGTCTCATCTATTGTCACACATTTTTCATTACAAAATTCTTTTTCCCTCAACGATGCAGTGGCAATTAGTTTCTCTGCTAATATACAAAATGTCATCTTCCTTGAAATTTATAACACACAGAATTTCTATTTCTGTGACACTTTTTGGCACCTCGAAACTTTGATAATTAACAGGGGAATGAATATCGACTTCAGACAAAATAGCGCCTTTAAAGCTCTCAGAGAGATGTATGTGCTCTTCTCAGGAAATGTGCTGATCGGTTCTGAATTCTGTGACGACAAAGTCGAAAAATTTACAATAATTCTTTCCACGCAAGTATTTGTCAAAAACACTGTCACACAACATGGAAAGATCAACATTTTTGCGTCTTCAGATATCAAATTTTTGGACCAGAAAATCGACAAAATCAAATTTTACGCAGAGGAAATCGAGAAAGTTGAATTTTACGAAAACGCAGAAGAACGACTTTTTCTTGAGAAGGAAAGCATTTTTAAAGTACCAACGAAAATTGACAAAATCGAAAAAAACAAAAATTTTGATAACGTCGAAATTGTACTGAACGAAACCCTGGCATTATCCAAAGTGTTTCAAATGCGGAAATTGATGGTTTTAACGCCTTACCTCCACATCAAAAAGCACAAATTTTACATAGACGAGACGCAGCGGATGTACGAAGAGATATCATTGCTTTTCTCTCGCAATTTTTATGATGTGAAATCGACAGAACCGTTCAGATATCATTTCAATGGCAAAGAAGTCATTGAAAGTCGCTTAGTTCGATACTTTGAGTTAAGTGTCGGGTTAAGTCTCATTTCCGTTGGTATAGTCGACCAAAATGAGTACTCAGACGTCGATAATTGTCACGTGGGATGGCGGGGGAAGTCGATTGGAATACACTCGGACGACGGATGCATTCGTTCGCCCTTTTTACCAAATGACATCCTTGAGAAGAAACACCTCTCTTTTGGAGCTGAGATAGGCAAAATCAATTGCGTGGGGTGTGGGGTGTATCTGAACAAAGAAGGTGCAAATGTCCTGTTTTTCACTATCAATGGAAAGATTGAAGAAGTCATAAAGATCGATTTCAATCTTGTAGCCGTTGCTATTGGTGTCGAGGAATTTTCGTATTTGGAACTGAATGATGGGAGTAAAAAAGATTTTAAGTTCGACTTACATACAGTAATTAAGAATTAATATTAATTATTAATTATTAATGATCATTTAATAGTTAACTATGCAAATAAACGAGTTCTAAATCAAGTGTTTAGAATAAGCAATGGTATATTGTTATGTTAAGATACTTTTACTCGACGTTTTCTACTTTCTTTAATATTAACATCTGACTATCAATTTTTCGTCTGTTTTTTAAGAAATAGATGCTATTTTATATGAAATAAATCAATTATACTATTAAAGAGTTCATTGAAATGATTTTAAAAAAGTTTTTTTTATATACCATAAAACCTTTCAAGAGTGGGATTTTTTGGACTAAAACTGAAAATAGAGTTCTCTATAGAGTGCCAATTAATGTTTGATTGGCTAAAAATGCCTGTTCTCGAGATAACAGAGACTACCAAACTCTCCCGCTCTTGGGAAATTTTACTGTACCATACATCTTTATTTTTAATGAATTCAAAAAAACAACACCAAAAATTTTTTAAAAAAAGTTGAGTTGGAGGAAAAAATCTGTTTTGATAAAAAAGTCTGGTTAAATAAGGAAAAATAGTAAATGAAATTAATTTAAACTAAACGATGAAATAGTTTATTAAGATAAAATAGTTTTTTATTATAATTATTTTCTTTTCTTATCCAGTCGGATTTTTTCTTTTATTTTTAAATTAAATTCTAGTACTTAACTAATAAGTAACTAACACTCAATTTTTGATTTCTTCCTCAGGACCAAATTTGTAAGTGACAAAGACTAAAAATAAAACGACTAATGATATGATGACATATGTATTGGAAATGAAACACGACTTCTCTTTTTTTTCAACAATAGTTTCGATGTTGATTTGTTTACGAACGACATTTGTTTCAGCTGGTATATTTTTTTGGTCTTTTTTGAGCTGCATTTCCGTAGCACTAAGTTGCTCGATAGCATCCAAGTTTTTTTCTAAGGCATCTAGACTTGCACAAAGTTTTTCATATTGTTCTTGGCATTCTTCTGGAGTTGCTTTGTGAGTGGATGAAGACATAAATTTTCGATTTTATAGTTCTTTTTTTTATTTATTAATTCTTATTATTAAACTATCAAAAAAACTAGTAACTTGATATATTTCAGTCTTATATTTATAAGTTTTCAATGATTTTGAAAAATATTTTTGATTGAAAATTGCGTTTATAAAAGAAAAACGATTAAAATTGTTGAGTAGTAAATCATCCAAATTGTTTATATATTAATTCACACTTGAGGTATTAAAGTGTCAATTGAAAGTATTTAATTTACTTAAAATTAGTTATTAAAATAACAATAGTTGTTATTTCTTTTAATTTAAATTTGTTGTTATAATAATCAATAAATATAAAACAAAAATCATTTATATTTATTTTGTTGGGTATTTAAATCAAATAGATAAAAGTCGGTTTTCGATGACAAGTTAAATTTATACTTTTTATCATTTAAATGTTACTATTTGACACAATAATATAAAATCGTGAAATTTTTATTTTTTTAATATTTGAAAAATCCAATAAAATACTTTTATATGTATTTGGCAAACGATTTAAAACAACAAATATTGCATACTGTAAAACTTAACATTTAAAAGACTACTTTTTTATAATAATAAGCATCACATATTTATTAATACCATAAAATTATAATAATATCATGAATTGATGGAATTTTAAATAATATTTTAATAACAATTAATACTTAAAGTTGACTATAAATTACTTCTTTTTTATTTTTAAACCTGATATAAAAAATTATAGATTAAGTAAAATTATTAACCCTTAGATTATTGGAAATTGATTTTTATATCTTATGTGCATGTATGTGTGGGCCACAAGTCGGAACCCAAAATTGTTGTAAATTATTATATGTTTTTTTACTTTGGTGTTATTTTTTTTAAAGTTCTTGTTTGATGTTACATGTTTACACACAAAATATTTCTACTTTTTATTTTAGGCAATTATTCAAAACACAATTGAACAATATATAGTAAAACTAAATACAATTACTGTTGTAATAAAATTATTGAAAATTAATATTTAATTGGTGCTTCCATTTAAATTAATAATAACAATTTGGGTGTTATCGAATTATACGTGTTTACCGTTGTGTGTTGTAATATAAAAATCAATAAAACGATAATTAAGAAAAAAAATATTTGTATATAATATCTCGTCTATATGTAATTATCAACAATAAGTTGTTGAATGAAAATTGTTAACATTAACTAAGTTACACAATTTAATTTATAACAATTGTTTGTATTTTATTTTTTTCAATAAAATTTCAAAACGATTACATATAAGTTACAATTGATATTTAAAAATAACAATGTCATTAACAATCGTTATTCAAATGAAAATTATATTTAACAATTAAATTAGTATTCAAAATCTTATGTCTGTTATTAATAATTAAAATTTTACAATTCAAAACAGATACTAAAATATCAAATGTCCATTTTTTCATAAATAATTTAATTTGTGTAAAATATTATTGTTTTATTTTTTAATACACAAACAGACATTGACAAGAACAAAAAACATGAAAGCCACTCAATGATTGCCTGTTATTATTTATAACAATCCAGTATTATTTTATAATAGTTTTTATTCTATAAATTTGATTTTTTTATGAATATAAAAAGAATAAGTAAAAAGAATGAAAAATACATTTTTATTGTTTTTAATTATCGTTGTTTTAAAAATTCTATATAAACCAAACTCTTTACTTTATTTTCAAATGAATCAGTTTTGCAAATACATCATCATTTGCATTTTTATAATTTTAGCTGTAGTATCATTCGTTTGTTCTTGTTCTTCTTATTATAATGCACATTTAACTCTTTTGATAAAATACCAAATACATTGTTTATTGTATATTTTATACATTTCCAATTAAAAACCCATATATCATAGTTTTATTTACTATTTAAATATTACTTTTGAGTTGTTTACATATTTTAAAAATTTAAATAACTTCGATGAAACATGAAAATCGATTATTAGTTCATTTGAAATAAACTTAAGGAAAGTACACAAAACACGCCATTTCAATTTTTTTCAATTGTTTACTACAAAAACAAATTTTCAGTAAATCAAGACTAACAATTAATATTTAAACAATTAAAAGTTATATATACTATAAAAATTATAAATAAAAAAGAAAATACTCAAATTAAGTTTGTAGCAGGTACCGGTTATTTTCTCGACGCAGGATACTTTTCCTTTTGCAAAGCAACATATAGTATCAGACGAAATGAAAACATTGGATTTGCACGATATTTAATAACGTTAACAACTACATGTGTTGTAATGGGTTTAGTTGTCGTCGCTTTTGTCATTAAATTGTTTGTCAATGGTGGGAGGAAAGTGACTGGACTCGTTTTTACTGGTCTTTCATCGATGGTATTTGTACTGACTGTTATTCTTCTCATATGCCTTTCTTGTAAGAAATATCCCGATTATATTATTGAGGATGAAAGAGCCTTTGAAAAAGAAGTTTGTTATATTTTCTATTTAATGTGATTTACTTTGAAATTATATGATGTTTATAAATATAATATATATTATATTTACTATACTATTAATTAGTACAGTAATTATATAATTATATTAGGAAAAGATCCGGAATGTGTTTAAATAGAACGATATTTGTTTTTGTTTGTGTAACAATATAATAAAATATCAATAATATTATAAAATTTAAATGTTATTAAATGTATTATAATAACAACATTAAATAACAATTAGCACAACTGTTGCATCGATTTTCAAACAGACGACGAAGGAAAATACAAATTGTGCCAATGCCAACAACCGATGGATCAAGACGGAAAATACACGTGGTGTGATAAATGTAGGCTTGGACAAGACACAGATGCACTTGCAGCACTTGGAGCCGGATTTGCTATGTATGGGGAATTGTTATGTGAATTGGTTATACTCTTCTGCTTTATAGCTTTCACCGTATTACTATTTTTGTGTTCAGCGAAACTTGGAGAAAATGGATTTTCGCTACTTCCAAATTAGAAAGTCTCAAATAAACCATTTTTTGATTTGTTGTGTTTTTAAAGATTTGAGTGTAAACAAATGTTTTTTGGTTATATTTTAACGTTTTAAATGATTTGAATTGGTAAAATAACATAATTAGTGCAGTTTAATGTTATAAAATTTCGTTTTTGAGATTCTTGTTTTGCATAAACTAATTTGTATGTAATAAAATAACAAATAAATTTATTTAGTAGAGATAGACCCATCCATGAAAACAATTGTGGAAATATTTATAATCTGTCATTTCCAAAACCAATAAATACCACCCAGGAAGTGTAACAGGGTCGGTAATTTTACCATACGCTATATAGTGTTTTTGTCCTGTTGTTTCACACCCACCTTCAATTGTCTCACAAATTAATTGATCGTCATATTTGTATGAAGCAATAAAAAGAGTTCCCCAATAGTATTCGACATGCCAAGTAAGAGTCACGTCTTCATGGGGTTGAAGTATATTAAAGTTTATACTATAATGTGTTACATCTCTTTCGGCTGGCTTTTCGTATGTAACTGTTGTTACATTAAAATCAAGATTGACTGTTTTGTCTTCGCAGTATGACATATCAATAACACCCAAGTCGGCACAACTCAAAGCAATTAGTAAAGCAATGAACAACGTCACAATTAGCTATGATTTTATCTCGTTAGTTTAAATAAAGAATAAAGAGGTCATTTTATTTTGAATTGTTATTATTTTTAACCAATTATTTCAAAATATTAATTTTTATGAATTATTAAATTATTGCATTGATATAAACAATATTTTTTTGTAACATTGTACAATTAAAACCAATGAAAAGTTGTAATAACTTTACAAAACATTTTTTTGAAGTCAATTATAATAAAAATATTACAAAACTCTGAACATAGTTGAATAAATAAACTAAAACAAAAAAACAATTATATTAGAGGTTAAAAAGGAATATTTAGTAAAACAGCAATTTGCATATTGAATCACAACAATATCCATTTTAAAAAACAACATTCAGATTATTGAGTTTCTTTTCCTTATAATTAAAATAATAATCATATTATTATAGTTCATGATATAAAAGATAATAGTATGAGTCTTAAAATTGTCATAAAAAAAAGCATTGTACAATAACACCAAACAAAAAATCAATTTTCTAAATAAACACAACCATCAAAATGTTAATCTAACCACAAATAAAGTGTCTGTTTTGGCACATCTCATGTTTAAATCATCACTTAAGTATGATCATTATTACATTGAGCAAACTTATTGTAGGTATAATTAAAACTTTCACCAATTTACAGCCCAAATTCACATTTTTCGTCTGTAAAAATTTGTAAAAGATCCTTACACTTTATTTCATATCACATTTTTTTGTTTAGTCAAAAAGATACACATTTTTTTGAATTCTATAATAATAATGCAATTATTCGAGTTTAATACAAAGTTAATACAAAGTTATCCTACATTTCATTTTAATTACCTAAATGTTAACACGTTTGTTGTGTTTGTCGTACTCCAACTTAGTGGCTGTTTGGCATATTGCGTTCTTCAATTGTTATTTTTTTAAAAAAAAATATTATCGAGTAAATATTTAAATTAATATCACACGTTGAAATTATTCTGAACACTTTTTACAACAATCTCTTAATTAAATATTCATCATTTTTAAATAATACACATTTTCTTTTCACGTTTATTTTTTTTGCTGATGCATCCCTTTTTAGTTTTTTCTTTGTTTCGTCTCATTGTTTATCAACACTTATTAATTCAATGATTTGATTTTACATTTGTATAGACATCACATCCATTGTAAAACTTGTTTAACATTGAAACTCATCTACAGTCAACAGATGGCTAACACATTTTTTTGAATTTAAATTTTATTCATCAGACTCACAAATTTCGCATTTATTTGTAGTCTGTGAACATTTTCAATAAATGTTTTGCTCTTGTCAAAACATTGCCCATTTGTATATTGTTGTCTCCAATGTGCAAGGGACTTCACAATGAAGGCATATCCCATTAACATAACAATTGTTGAAATTATTAATTCTAAAAATGATTCTTAGAAGATATGGTTTTGTAAAACATAGATATTATTGTAAAACACATAAATTCATTTTGTAAACATAGTGCATGAATAATTGTTCCAACAAGCTTAACAATATTGTATGACTAAATATGAATCAATAAATGTTGATAATTTCCACACAAATTGTTAAGTGTTTAGCTTTGAAAAAATAAAACAGTAAAAATAAAAACCCTCCTCTTTTTGCTTACTTTGATCTTGACACCAAACTCTTAAATTCCTTCTCAAAGAATCCAAGTGTCTCAAGTTGTTTCATGTTAATTTCGATTTCCTCTGTTTCAAAATTGAGTTCCTTATCTTGTCCTCCATTTTCTCT